CTATAATAAATCAAAATGAGCTGGGCGTGGTAGCGCGCGCCTTTAGTTCCAGTTACTTGGAAGGCTGAGGCAGAAGGATCGCTGGAGCCCAGCAGGCTGACTCTGCAGTGGCCGGAATCGGCCACTGCATTCCAGTCTGGGTGACAGAGTGAGACTCCAACTCAAAAAAAAAAAAAAAGAATTGTGGTGAGTTTTGAGGAAGTTCGTGTGGCTTCAGCAAAGTGAGTAAGGAGAAAGCAGCAGGAGTTGGGGTCAATCTGGTGGAGCCTTTTAGGCTATTGTAGATACTTCTTTTCTAAAATTATTTTTTTCAGACAGGGCCTCGGTCTGTCAACCAAGCTAGAGTGCAGTGGCATAATCACAGCTCACTGCAGCTTCAAACTCCTGGACTCAGGTGATCTACTGCCTCAGCCTACTTAGTGGTAGGAGCTACGGGCACCCACCACCACCCCCTGGCTAATGTTTGTATCTGGAGTAGCTGGAGCTATGGGCACCCACCACCACCCCCTGGCTAATGTTTGTATCTCTTGTAGAGATGGGGTCTTGCTATGTTGCCTAGGCTGGTCTTAAACTCCTGGCCTTGGTGATCCTCCTGCCTTAGCCTCCCAAATTGTTGGGATTACTGGCATGAGCCACTGTACAGTTCTATTTGTGGGTCTATTAACTAATATAATTTAAAAGAAGTGATGACTGTGTAAATGGTATTTGGAGACATATGCATAGACTGTAATGTAATATGAAACCATCTATGATTTCTATTGGTGACCAAGTCACAGATACTGCTAATGCCATTATAGAAACCATTCTGAAAGCTAAAGGAGCAGAGTGGGTGGGAGTAGCCCGGCATCTGTCACCTCTCGGTGCTGGGGACTGGGAATGTTGCCTACTTTTGTAGATAAAGAAAGCCTTACATTTCAGTCTGTTTGGTGAAAATAAAGTTGTATTTCCCCATCCAAGTTCATGGACCCTCTGAATTCTATACATGGACTCTTGTGGTTAATCTCTTAGTGCAAAAATGCTTGACGTGACTGCAAATAAACATAGGGGGTTTTATTTTTATTATTTATATTTATTATGTTATTTATTACAGGCGTGTGCCACCACGCCCAGCTAATTTTCTTTTATTTTATTGTAGAGACGAGGTCTTGCCATGTTGTCCAGGCTGGTCTCGAACCCTTGGGCTCAGGCAATCCTCTCGCCTCCACATCCCAAAGTGCTGGGATTTACAGACGTGGACCACCGCGCCCAGCCTACGTTTTTGTTTTTAAGTGGGAGAAGAAAAAGATGAAAACGGGGAACACTAGCATCCCAAATGCATGCCGTTCACTCTTGTACATCTAGCCAAAGGTGGGCTACAATGTCAGTCTGGACTTCCTAGCAGTCAAGGAAAAGGTTCTGCCCCAACTTTCGCAGCTTAAAACCTTGATTGGCAACCTCCCGCCTAATCTAAAACCCCAAGGCCTTCCCTAGGCTTACAAGACCCACATAGTCCAGTCTTTGCCGACCTCTCATGCTTCCTCTGACACCACTGTCCCTTCCCACACCTCCCAGCCTGGTCGAAATTACTTCTAGCTCTCAGGGAAAATGCCCGGCACCTCCCCGCCAGCCCTCCCGGACCGGGCGTTCCTAGCCAGTGGCGCCCGAAGGTGACGGATGCCTGCCCCGCCCTCTCGGGGCTACTCCCGCCCACTCTACTCCTTTAGCTTTCGGAAGGGCTTCTCCTTTGGCGCTTCTCACGAAACAGGGTGCTCCCGGCAAACTGACGCGATCCTGGGGGAACCCACTTGCGTTAGTGAAGCAAAGCGAATTCCATTTCTCACCAGCGAGCGCGGTTTCCCACGGTTCCACCGGAGCGCACGGAGGGCGGGGGAAGTGCTAGGAGGCGGTGTCATCTCCTAAGCTCCGCCCCCTCGTCGGCGTCTTCTAAACACGTTCTTCCGCCCATTTCCCTCTCTCTTCCTTTGTACGCCATCGTGGTGTGCGCGGTGGACTCTGTTGCTCGCCATGGTAAGTCTTTGGGCCGCCATCGGCCGCCATCGGCTCCGGGGTGGCTTCCCGAGACCCGAGGCTGCCGTGAGATTTCCGAGGTCGCGCGAGCATCGAGGGGCAGGAGGCTTTTAAAGGTTTTTTCAAAAGAAAGTTGATTTTGGCCACCGGTGGAATTCGCGGGCCTAACCAAGCATTTCGGGAGGGGTGAACTGCTCTGGCGCTGCGGGTTCGAGGGGGCGCTTTGTTCGCCGGGACGCTGGCAGGAATTCCCGCTCCCCCTTGCTTGGAGTGAACTTTGATTCTGGGACAGGGAGAGGTCAGAATGGGAGCACCCCAGAAATCATGGCTGACTACGGGATGCCCGTGGCATCCGCATAGTGACAGGCATCAGGAGGGAAATGTGAGCTACCGTTTTCTGAGTTTTTAGCTTGGTGTGTAGGAGCGTGCCACATTGTTACATTACAGAACTTTTGTTCAGATGGCATTCAGTCTTGAGCGTCGCCCCGTGGAAGTTCCTGGAACAAGGGGTGTTGTGTGAACCTATGTCATTCGTGCGTTCTTAGAAAATGCCTACAGAGGACTAGTCACTGTCGCAGCTTTTGGAGTCGGGTCTCACTCTGTCGCCCAGGCTGGAGTGCAGTGGCACGATCACGGCTTACTGCAGCCTTCAACTCCTGGGCTCAGACGAGCCTCCCAAGTAGCTGGGACTACAGGCGCGTGCCACCACACCCGACCAATTTTTTGATTTTTTTTTTTTTTTTTTTGTAGAGACAAGGTCTTGCTGTGTTGCCCAGGCTGGTCTTGAACTCCTGGACTCAAGCAGTCCTCCCGCGCCTCGGCCTCCCAAAGTGCCGTGATTACAGGCATGAGCCACCGCTCCCAGCCTAAACTCTAAACTGTAAAAATGTACAGCTGCTACTGTGGGCTAAGAGACAGGGGTATACTCTTTGCCTTCTTTATAATGGCCCCTGTTGTGTAAGGGTTTGTTGGACCAGGTTGGCCAGGCTTTATTTTAGACTTGTATTCAAGTCGTTTTTCTGGGTTGTTCTGCAAATAAGGGGGCATTCAGGTTGGTTTTGAGACAACTCAAGTTATATATAAAAGCCTATAAGATGAAACTGGAAACTCAGAAGTCATTCTTGAAAAAGTGACATTGCCAGGCTCGGTGGCTTAGCCTATAATCTCGCACCTTGGGAGGCTGAGGTGAGTGGAGTGCCTGAGCCCGTGGGATCGAGACCTGCCTGGACAATTTGGCAAGATCTCGTCTCTACAATAAACCAAAAATTAGCCGGGCGTGGTAGCGTGCGCCTGTAGTTCCAGCTACTTGGAAGGCAGAGGCGGAAGAATCGCCGGAGCCCAGCAGGTCGAGGCTGCGGTGGCCAGGAGCGGCCACTGCACTCCAGGCTGGGCCT